ATGATACGAGTGCATAGGGACTAGTGGGGGTTCCATCGTTTCTCCATTGACTTGCCTTGCAAGCTTTCCATTAGGAATGGGGAAGCAAAGGGTGTTACCAGTCATATCAGTTTCTTCTGAGTTCCCCATCAACTTGTGGGAAGCTGTCAGGAAATATTGAAAATGAGGACCATGTGATTGTGGATTCCCAGATCCGTGCAACGGTATTGAACAGCAGCAGCACAGTGGTGCTGAAGTAGGAGGAAAAAAATCCCTAAATGTCATCACCTCAGGAATAATGGAGCCTGGCAGTTATAAGTTACTTCATTTGAGGTATCTTGTTGACAAACGTTTGTCCTATAATGCAGCATTTCGCCTTAATTGAAGGTTACAAACAGACATGAAAGATTTAGTAGTATATAGATGTGCTGTAGGTACCAGACACCTTATTTAAGATGTATAAAAGTATTTCTAATCAATGTTCAAAATGTGAAAGACACAAAGGGACATTTTACCATGCATGGTAGCTATATGGGGAAGAAGGAAAAAACATCTCAAACAAAACACAACCTGGATGTAAATGCACCTAGTGCTGTAAATCACTTAAAAAATTAATATTCTGATGAAATCTGAACTTTTAAATTGATAGCCAATTTTTAAAAAAGACTTACTGCAGGAGGCTATTATATTCACAAAGATGGGAAAACACTGAAATATCAGAGTAGTGGAGTAGATTGTAAATATGGTGGAATTTGAATAGAGGGTAAAATTGACCAGTTTGATCAGTAATTAAATAATACTTTCATAAAATACTGAAAAACTCCTATGGGCTTTTGCTGAAAAAATAGAAAAATGATTTGGTTTTTTATGGCTTTGTTGATTAAAGAGAGTTGAATATGGGAAATGTAATCTTAAAGAGAGAGGAGGGCTATTAAGTTTGTAATTGATGGAAAGAAGATTGGAAGTTGCTTCTTTATCTTTTTCTACTTATATTGTTTCCTATAATTTTTATTTTCTTTCCCCCCCTATTTTTTAATGTTTCTTTTTATATTTTTATAAAACAAAAATGTAATATATATCAATCTCTAACAAAAATATATAAAAATACGCATGGACAGCAAAAGCATTTTCCAGTTTTATAAGATTCTTCATGCACCAACTTTATTTTTCTTTCAGTAAATCTCAGGTCATAATAAAACCTATAGAACAAAATTGTCCAGAGTTAATGAGAATAATTCATGGTCCAAGTTTCCACTAGTAGCATAACAACCCCTAAGTACATAATGTTTTTATTTTCCACAGGGACGCTCTAATGCATTTTACAGGAAAGCTAATGCAAGGAGTTCATAATTACAAGGAGCTGCAGACAAAAAGCATTCATTTTTGTTTTAAAATGACAATCAGAGGATAATTGAGTTCCAGGTCTAGGGCTGCTCTCAATGTGCATAATATTGTTAGGTTAGGTCAGGTCAAATGAAATGCAGTAAAAAATTTAATTTTGTGAGTACATATTTGAATTTATCCCTTTTCATTTTATGGTACATGCCCAATAAATGCTGAAAGAAATAAAGAAAGGGAGTTGCCTATATAACATGGGGGAACAATACGAGAACAGTGCTCACCACAAAAGTATGAGAGAACTTGCTGCAGCGAAGTTCATGATGGGATTTTATAACTGACCATCAGTTTTATGCATCTTGCTTTAAAATTCATTTATGTTCATTCTTAGTGTACTTTCAAATTAGATTTAAAAAAAAAATACTCTGGCCAGTTTAGAAGACTGCATAACCCAGGCCATGTGATTGTTAAGACCAGATTAAGCAACATTAATCATCCACTTCCTCCTCTTCCTTGAATCATATTCAGCTGAAGATGGCGTACACTTTTTGCCTTAGGACACAAATTAGATTTTATTTCATACTGCTATTTAATTATAAAAAAGCTAAGTTTTGAGATTTTTGGGGAAAGCATTCAAGCCGTGCATCCCTATCCAGAATCAATTCTCACCAGACTAGCAGAATCAGATTCATCCACATTGATTGAGAAGAGAAATTAAACCTTATAAACCTTATTTTAGTTTTGGTCAGTAGTTTGTTTTAATGCTCACCACTGCCAGGGACTACTTTTCCTAAATCTGTTTTTCTTGTAAAATTTTTTGTTAGTTTTGCATATGTTTGAGAGTATATGTGAAAATATTGGAACTTAAAATGCGTATCCCAAAACAGAAAAAATTGTTGAAGGGACTAAAATGACTAAAATTACTGGGTTAAAACTGACTAGAATCAAACTATCCTTGTGGAAAGTGACTGCTAAAATGTTTGTGGCCATTATTAAATGTATGTCATTAGTTTCGAAGCCATAATAAAAACAAAATACTGCAAGTAAAAATAGAACGACTGTGGCAAAATAAAGCAAAGGATGTACCAATAGTATTTGATGCCTTGGATGAAATCTCAAGACAACTAGAGCACCACTAATATCATCAGCCTCGAGAAAATCACCATCAGTCAATTGCAAAAGGCAGCTTTACTCAAAACAGCTTAAATCCTGCCATGATATCTTTAACACCATCAAAAATCAACATCTGCCTATACCAAACATTGGGTGGAACTCAATAGATGGATAAAAATGTCAAATCCAGTGTGAACTTCTAGATGAGTGTGTGGCAAACTATACTAAAAGGCTTACGTGTGCCTTCTTTTTTCCTCTATTGAAATTCACTCAGCTTTTTTATGTTATTACAAGATAAACTGAAATATGATCAACATTTAGAGTTCTTCGCTACAACCATTTATAGCTATTTTTCACTGTAACAAATTGCAGACTCATGATTTGTTCTTGTTTTTTTCTTATTTGTAGCCTTAAATTAATTTAAATTGCTATCCCCATATAGATTTTGGGAACAAGTATGTTACGCCTTCCCTTCCTTTTTTATACATATATCTAATTCAAAATTATACATTGTGGAAATTTAGTTAAATATTTATACTGCCTTCCTGAGAGGAGAGAAAGAGAACATAATGATATCTTGCGGGATATTATTTGGTAGGATTAAAGATCAAGACAAGTAAACTGAAGGAATTCGAGGTAGACTTATTTGATCAGGGTATCAAAAGTGGTTTTTGATAGCTATTAGTAGATTCTTTTTTTTACCAGAATAATGATTAGGCATCAAAGATCTGTTTATAAGGAGATATTTTTTTTGTTCTGTTTCTTAGAGAAAGTGATAAATTGGAATAAAAATGAATAATTATATTAAAGTTAAAATATATTTTATTATTCTGGTAGCTCTTAATAGACTTTTGCTAATTAGAAATGAATATCTTTTATACATTGATTACTGATCTGGGATGAGTTATGGCAAATATTAGAGATGGTGTTAAGATACTGAAGTTATTTTTACTTTTCTGGAAGTAGGAGGAAATCATCTTTATATAGCTTTTCTTTTTCCTTTTTTGCACTTCTTTTTCCTTTACTTTTTATATTTTTAAAGTTTGTATTAGACTTTTATTTTTGTATTTGTAAATACATAAAATTATTGCAAAAAAAAAAATAGAATGTAGTAACCATGAGGTAGGTTTAAAATAGATAGTTTATTTAATTGTAACCAGGAAGTCATTACTGCATTGTTGCCAAGAAAACTATATGAATATTGTCATGAAGTGACTGGGGGGAAAGCTCATTTTGAAATAAACATTCTTAAAGAAAATACTGCACAACTTATCCATTTTCACTTAAATGTTCAATTAAAACAACTATAAATGCCCTGAATAGGTGTAATAATCTTGGTGGCCTTGAACACTTTTTGGTTGTTTTGATTTAGAAGTTCAAAATATTAATATGCTGGACTTGGGAAGCAAATGTTTTGAGTGTGTGATATATATAATTATAGCAATATATTTTCCTCTTTGTACATAAATCATTTTTAGGATACAAATTTAAGAAATGATTGTGTATTTTATTCAGAGAAATTACCTTTCAACAGCTCAACAGATTCAGTGAAGCTGCATATAATCATTCAAATAATTAAAATTTAAAGTCTGTAATATTAATCACTTACTAGAAATTTTACTAAGAAGCATATTGCATTTAATGAGATGAAAAGTGCATATGTGCAAATTCTGTATACCTGATTTTCCAATGTGACCATTTGATAACGTAATATTGAAGATATACATTGAAGTATTTTTACATGTAGTCCTCATTTAGCAACCACATTGTGACTAGCATCTTAGTTTGTTAAGTAAAGTGGTTGCTAAGTAAAACTGTGATTGTTCTTTGATCTCACATCAGTTTTTCTTTGCTTTATAGACCTGCGAAGATTGCAAATGTGAGGATTGATCAGTTACTTTTTCATCACTGTCATAATCACAAATGGTCACTAAATGAGGCAATTGAGAAATTAGGGCTACCTGTTCACAAGCATGAGCGTTATTATTTGTATCTTATAGAATCGACCAGGTAGTTCTTTTTACATTTTGATTATATTTTTGATTATATTTTTTATTGTTAAAGAAGTTTCTTGTATGACTACAGATAGTCCTCGACTTACGACCACAATTGAGTGCAATATTTAAGTTGCTAAGTGAGACATTTATTGAGTTTGCCTCATTTTACCACTTTCCTTGCCACAGTTGTTAAGTGAACCTTTGCGGTTGTTAAGTTAGTAACTGGTTGTAAAGTGAATCTGACTTCCCCATTGACTTTGCTTGTCAGAAGGTTGCAAAAGGGGATCACATGACCCCGGGACACTGCAATCGTCATAGATATGAATCAGTTACCAAGCATTCAAATTTTAATCACATGACCATGAGGATGTAAGTGTGAAAAACAATCGTCATTTTTTCAGTGCTATTGTAGCTTTCAACAGTCACTGAATGAACTGTTGTAAGTTGAGGACTACCTATAATTTCTAATTATTGGAAATAACATTTAAAAAAAACCCTCCAGAATACCAGTATGGCTTTTGAAGCTCCCGTTTTACTAAAGGTATTTCATTATAAATTACCAGGCAAAAACAATTTTTAAGCCAAAAGAAATTTTATTGAAAAAAATCTGAATTTGTAGAAGCATAATTTCATACAAACATTTCTGAGGAAATAATTGAATATTAAAACCATTTTGGGTGTTACATTTTTTAGAGCAAAACCTTATCTGCAGTGGGGGGATTCTGCCAGTTAGCACTTCCGGAGAACCGGTTGCTAACTTTCTGAGAAGTTTGGTGAACTGGTTGTTGGAAGAAATCATTAGGGCAGAGAACCAGTTGTTAAATTATTTGAATCCCACCACTGCTTATCTGTGATCAGAAAATACCTTCAAAAGAATCTGTGAGTTTCCATGTCTGATTGAATCTTCCTGAACATCTAATACTGATTTTCATCCCCAATCTGGTAACGTATTTTGAGTTTCAGCAAGGATCCCTGTCAATTAAACCATAGTGCATGGCTCTTCGGTGTACTGTACAGTCAAGAATTCATATAAAATAAGTATATATTTGCTCCATTCCTTTCCAAAACATATTAGAGTTATAAATAGTAGAATGGTAGTAAGTAAAGATCAAAATAACGGAAGTTTCATTTAAGATCAAAATATTCCAAAAAGTGCAATCACACTCTAAAATCATTGTAATAGGCCAAATGATGGGCCATAAATACAATCAATCAATCAATCAATCACACACCTACAGTATATATTATACACACATACTACAGATATGAACTGAGTAGTTACTTGAAAATAATTTGAAAATAATTCTTAGGGTACTTGCACTTAATTCACCAGCAGTAAGTTTTTTTAATTAGTCTTCTGAATACCTATAAAGGCATTCTTCAGGTTCTAAACTGGAGCTGGCTCTTGTACCTAAAAAAGGGTATAGAATTTAACACCCAGCTATACTGATTGCAAAGAGAAGCTGGTTTTTCTGTATATACTCTGACATTTCATTGAAACACATTATCCTGCTTCCTCCCAAAAAGTGAGAACCTTCAGATATCAGAGAGCGGTAACAGCCACCCAAGATACAAAACAATTCATTGTTCTTTATTACCGAATCAATAATCTTTGTAGATTGTTTAGATAGGGTTACATCAACAGAACAGTGATATTTTTTAAAAATACAACAAAATAAATTAGCAAGTTTTAATTTAAAAAAAAAATCTTTGCATGAACTATATGGGTAAGAAAAAAACTGGTGACTTTAATGAAAGAAGAATTGACTATTAAAATGGAGACTGGAATTTATCTTAAATGTAAGTAACAAAAGGCAATTTCAGCTACAAATATTTTAAAATATCCTACCTAGAACAGCTAAAGTATAAAGATAAATTTATATTACCATAAATAGCAAATATCATGAAAGCTAGTTTTTATCCAGTCGTGATCTTCCTTAATGTCTATAAATCATTGATCTGGTTAGGAGATTGCTATGCCAATATTTTCATACATATTTCTTCATAAATCTGTACCAGACTTGGAACAGTATAAGAATGACATAGTAATCTTGCATATAAAAAGGAATTTCCAAATTTTACTTCTGCATTGGATTCTTGATATGGTAAACATGGTAGAAAGGACTTTTCATTTGTGAACTTAATTTATTTGGCAATGCATTTCTATAGTTATGATGGATAAACTACTTATTATCCCAATTTTCCCCTTCAAAAAAAATTTCACATGGTAAATCAATGTAATCATAACCATCATACTTTAAGAGACACAAAGAGCTTCACTAAAAAAAATCAGTTGGGTTCTAGAGTTACACAAGAGATACTGACTTAACAAACTTACAGGAAGCATGGCTTTGAGGAGGAACTGTTCAAGCTGTTTATCAACTTATCAATTACGTTTAAATAACTTAAAACAGTGCAGTGTCTGGTCTAATAAGTTCTCTGCAGTGAATATTTACATTATAAAGTAAACTTGATAAAGAATGTTAGTAATATTTTGGCTCAATACATATCAGTCCTTGATTTTGTAACTAGGAAATGTATTTATTTCTTCTCCCCAAAATACTCATTTAAAAGGGGGAAAACGTGGACAAATTCAGCAAAAATACTTTATGTAGCTTGCACTTATAATCTGTCTGCTGAGACTGCAATAAAATAATTAAACTGAGATAAATTAGGAGAAGTCCATTAAAAAGAACGGAAAAATCCTAATTTATTTCAAGAGAACTTTTTTTATATAAATACACACATAATAAAAAAATGGAAAAAAAATCACCAGATTTACTGTCTTTAAGAATGTTTAGACTGACATTTTTCTAATACATTTACAAATCATTAATCACGCTAGTTATACAAAAACAGATTTGCTTAAGATGAGTTCCTATGCATTCACACATCAGTAAAGAATTTTGCAAGGAGATTGGTGATAAAAAATCATGTAACACCAGAGCTCATAAAATTGGCTTTTTAACATTTAGTTTTAATATAAAAGGTATTTTTGAAAACAGTTGTTACATGAATATAAAAGCACCATTCATACAATGAAAAGTATGTTTGTACTTCCACACCTCTTAAAATTTGAATTCTTCCACTTAGTAATAGGATTTACTAAATGAAGGATTTGACTACACTGCCTCATACTGAGAATCTTTTACTCAACTATTCATGACAGATAAGAATGCTTTTTCTTTTTAAATGACAAAGATTGGAAGAAAAAACCTCATGCAAACATTTAATGGCTACATAATATTCAGCACAATAATTTGTAGTAATACCACTCTTGTTCAGCTAAGTATGTAAATCCATCAAGATATGAAATAGTCTATCCAGTGTCTTTTATTGCTGAACATATATAATAACAAGGCACAGGACAGCCACCAATCCAAGAGCTTGTAATCCAAGAAACCAGAGCATAACCCAGAAGAACAGGATTATTACAGGTTCTACAATCCTTTCTCCAAAATACATCCTTGTGAATCCTATTCTTATGAGGCTTTTGTTGAGTTCACCAAAGAGAGTCCCCATCTTTTTATAGTCATCAATAATTGATTCAGTATTATTTTCCCTTTCTTCTTGTAGGACCTAGAATAAAAAGAGAATAAAGATTACTAATCTATATCAACAAAACCATGTGATATTATTCCTGCTTTTTTGTATGTAAAAATAGTTTTTTAATTTTTTTTCCCCTCAAGGATAACAATCTGAAATATTGTCATATTAACTAGCTGTTTTATATTATTAAAAAAAATCTTTCTTCCAATAGTATCATATTTTGTCATATAACCAAGTACTTTATTAATGTGCTACAATATGGATCAGAAAGTAAAGAAGTTGAGCTTGTCAGTTGGAATTGACAGTCCAGGTTCAAGACCTGGCACCAAGCAATCAGGTAAGCTCCTGCACTGACTAGCAGTTCAAAAGCATGCAAATGCGAATAAATTAATAGTACCACTTCATGTATATGGCATATAGCCATACTGGCCACATGACTATGGAAAATTTCTTTGGACACTGTTGCCTTTTTTAAGCCAAGAAACAGAGATGGGCACTATGCCCCTAGAATCAAACATGACTGGATAGGAAATCTTATATATACAATACAATACAATAGCAGAATTGGAAGGGACCTTGGTGGTCTTCTAATCCAACCCCCTGCCTAGGCAGGAAACCCTATACTGTCTCAGACAAATGGCTATTCAACATCTTCTTAAAGACTTCCAGAGTTGGGGCATTCACAACTTCTGGAGGCAAGCTGTTCCACTGATTAA